ACTACAGCTAAACTCAGGGTCTTATTTTCTTCAGTTTTATATGTAGAACCAATCAGTCACTGGTTTCATAAGCTTTAACATAAACAATGCCGGCAGCCGTCTCGTCTCCTCTAATATTCCACGTATTATTAATAAATTGTATTGTTAATTTTGCACACACGTACATTAATTCAATAAAAACAAATTCAGAAACATTAATTAAAATATATATGAACAGTAAATAAGTGTTGCTTTCATATTCTTATGTAAAGTAATGATGATATGTTTTCACGTGTGCGCATGCGCACTTACATATGCGATCTCTCTTTTTCTTTACCATTATCGTTAGCTACTTCTATTGTTCCATTTATTAACATTAAATAACATTACTTAAAACAACCATATTAATTTTACTACAGCTACAACCAAGGTCTTATTTTCTTCAGTTTTATATGTAGAACCAGTCAGTCACTGGTTTTGTAATCAACGAAAACAATGCTGTGTCATTTCCTCGTGTGTTTTAATATTCTACGTATTATTAATGAATTGTATTGCTCATTTTGCACACATAAACATTAATTCAATAAAAAAGACATTCAGTAATAAACAATAATGAATCTTTTGTACATAAGAGAAATGACGCTGTTTACACGATTATGCACGTCGTCTGCACGTTGGCGGGCCGTTCAAACCCGTCGAAATTCAAGTTTCCGCCGTCAAAATTTTTATTTATTTATTTTTTTGTGTGTTCCAATAAAATACGTTAAGAATTAAAAACTCGCAAAATTTGAGAAGCTACTATACGACATTTAACCCTTCAATATGTCTTCAAAGAGACCATGATGCAGAGAAAGTGGTGCTAGTGCTTCCAGGCATAAGCACAAGTCACTATCTATCCAGGAAAAGGGTGAATTTCCATGGTCCGGCACCGGTCAGGTCCCGAGGTTGCCGGACTAGAGAGGTACAACCTGTAATAATAATAATAATATAGAACCATAAAGAAATTAAAAAAAAGATCATTAGTGAGAAACAATATAGTATGTATGTTGTGTTGTCAATAGTAAGAGAAACAATTGAGACCCTGCAATTGTGTGTAAATGAGGCAGAAAGTCAGATCAGCAACCTGGGACTTGGTCACAATTTTTGCGATGCCATATGGCAGCAGGGTCTACCATTAGACAACACATTATGCTTCCAATATCTTCCCAGGCGGTAGTACCTCCCTGTTTGGTAGCTGCCTTCTACCTAACATAGATAACCACACCCCTCTTGCAAGTTGCTTGATAAAGGTTTGTAAATGAGTCATATCAAGCAATACTGAACTCACATTCCTCTGAGTTGATTCTCCTGTTCTTGTACAACAGTTCTACAACTCCTACAATATCTGGTTGGTGTACCTTCAGTAGTGTTTCAAACTCCTCTCTCTTATCAAGGAACGTGTCAGTATTAGTGTACACAGTAAAAAAATACCGCATGGATTATGTGTGAAACAATATGAAACCATGGACGAGGGAGAGTGGAATATGTGTGTAAGATAATTAATGTAATGGTGTTGATGATATTATGCTGGTCCTGTGGGACGTAACTAATATGGCCCTACCATTGGTAGGTGGAAACCTTTGCCATACAGGCACGGGTGGGGGGGTGTACCGCTGGCTGTGTGCTGGCGCTCTTGTTTCCACTACCCTCCCCCTGGATATGACCTACGTACACCTGTCCCCGTTCCTCCTTGACTCCTCCCTCCTCTGCTTCAAGCCCTGTAGGAGGTTTTTGTGCTGTTCCTTCTGCATTACTGTGCGATCTGGGTGGATGAATACACAGTACATATTTCGAAATGCCCCGCTTTTTGCTAAATTTTTGGCGTGCTGAATAACTTACCATTTTTTTATCGTTGCTCATTAGTGTGAGCCTGAGGGGGTGAGGCTTGTCCTCCTGCTTTTGTCCCAGCCTCCTCACATCCTGAGGGAGGCTGACATATTTAAACCCCCTGTACAAATATTCTCTAACTGCAACTTATCGTGTGTTTTCCTACTCTCAGGGACTTCATAAACTACTGTATTATGTTCCTGAGCTCGAAACATTCCCGTTGTTCCTCCTCTCCCCTAACAGTAGGTCTGCCATCTTTTCAAGACACTTCTTCAGAGACCCTAGCTGCTGTAGAACTTGTTTGGATCCTGCATTACTCTCCGCCACTTTCCATGGCCCTGTTAAAGCCTGAGCATAACTCTTCTTCACTACTCCCTCCATTGAATCAGCTAATTCCTCAGTCTTAGCGAGGATCTTTTTCCCAACTCGCTCTAGTTTGAGAACCAGTAAGGATCCAGCTTCAACTATTTCCATTCCTAAGAATCTCATTCCTTTACAGTTTGCATTCGCCTCATTTACTTTGATTTTGCCCAGACCCACACAATTTACATCTGACGTTGCCCTGCAGTAATTGCTTATCAACAGACTTCTTGGTGATGTTGGGGTCTTATCCCCTGATTCCCTGTTCCTCATGGCTGTCACTGTTGAGGAGGAAGGAAGTTGTTCAGATTCTGTACGAATCTTCTCAGCCTTAAGCCCAGATTACAATGTGATATAATTCTAATCATCTGCTTCGGCTTCATAGTACTAATATTAATCTATATTATTAATGTGATAGTCGTTTCTACTCTGTGTCTTGGTAGCAGGGCTTTAGCGTCAAGGTCCCTTTAAAGCCCCTCTCCGCTTCCTTCGTACATAGGCCACTTTGTCTGGTGCCAACTACAGGACTCTCACACTTAGTTTCTTCTGATGAAGAAATTTACCCCTCGCTTGGATGACTTCCTTTATAATCACATCTACTAATTGTAATGTAAGTGAACTAAGATGTGTGAGTGATCATGGCAGACTAATGTTATTAAAAAAATATATATAAAAAATCACTTAACTTCCCTGTTGCCGATGTTGATCCCGCTGGCACCCTCGTTCATCCAGTGTTGCCGTCCAAGACAGTTTGACTTGATTTCTGTTTTTTTTTTTTTTTTCAGGCCTCCTTGACGAGTTGTTGGTACCTCTTTGCTATCACTATGTACACTGTATCTTGCTATGAATGGTGGATCATATGCACAATCACAGTCCTTTAGAAAACACCCACACAAAAGAAAAACTTTCTTTGTGGCACCAATAATAGGTCTTGGCTACCTCCTGCCTGATTGCTTGTCCTAATTTGTTTTTCACTTCAATTTATTTTCAACCTCCACCGCGGTCACTGTTGTCACTATGATCTGTCTCAGCTAAAGGCACAACACTACACTCTCTGATCGGCCTTTGGATGGTCAATCACAGCCATGAACACAACTTGTTTATAATTTTCTGGCAATTTTTTGTGGTTGTATACCTCCCGGCCTGTTCCTCTGGTCAGTAGAGTGTTTTCCAATATACAATCGTGAATAACATTGAAAATCCTACATCGGTTTACACATTCACATCACTAAGACAATCTTCACGCTCTTATGTAATCAATGTCCAATTTCCGCCACTCAGTAACGAAGGCCAGTGTGTCAACACGCTTTGTTACAGAGACGCAACACCACACGACCCGCCAGAGACGCAACACCACACGACCCGTAAGAGTCAGAGTGGGGTATGCTATAACGAACGGTTTATATAACGAATATTCCTATAACTAACGTTTTTCCCTATAAAATTGAAAATGTTATAGCGAACGAAACTCCTACAACGAACAGTATTTTTTATTATTTTTTGTACTAATTTATTATTTTTTATTACAAGTATTAATGATATTCTTTATTTCAGGAGTTTAAATGCACAGTTATGCACCTTTTTAAAATTTTTACAATTTTATATTATATTTTTCATTGTTAAGTGGTTGTATTTGGGGGCCTAGAACGGATTACCCCTATAACGAACGAGGTTCTAGAACCAATTAGATTCGTTATAGCATACCTGTGTGTTATGACGTCAGATGTTTTGGTACAGTAACGGGAGGTCGTGCTGGAGGTGGACACTGTGATGTGATAGACGTTGCTGGCCCTCAGTTACACACCTTACATTTAAATCACATATTGAGTTGGTTCTCTCTCTCTCTCTACTGCTGCTGTACTGTGAAACCTCCACATAAAAGACTTCTCTCTTCGTATTATCCTTGACATGGGGAGGGGGGTAACATCTAACGGACCCTCGATATAATGAACTTTCCTCTCTATATAGTGCATTAATAGAGGTTTCACATCTAACGGACCCTCGATATAATGAACTTTCCTCTCTATATAGTGCATTAATAGAGGTTTCACATCTAACGGACCCTCGATATAATGAACTTTCCTCTCTATATAGTGCATTAATAGAGGTTTCACATCTAACGGACCCTCGATATAATGAACTTTCCTCTCTATATAGTGCATTAATAGAGGTTTCACATCTAACGGACCCTCGATATAATGAACTTTCCTCTCTATATAGTGCATTAATAGAGGTTTCACATCTAACGGACCCTCGATATAATGAACTTTCCTCTCTATATAGTGCATTAATAGAGGTTTCACATCTAACGGACCCTCGATATAATGAACTTTCCTCTCTATATAGTGCATTAATAGAGGTTTCACATCTAACGGACCCTCGATATAATGAACTTTCCTCTCTATATAGTGCATTAATAGAGGTTTCACATCTAACGGACCCTCGATATAACGGACTTTCCTCTCTATATAGTGCATTAATAGAGGTTTCACATCTAACGGACCCTCGATATAACGGACTTTCCTCTCTATAGTGCATTATTAGAGGTTTCACATCTAACGGACCCTCGATATAACGAACTTTCCTCTCTATATAGTGCATTAATAGAGGTTTCACATCTAACGGACCCTCGATATAACGAACTTTCCTCTCTATATAGTGCATTAAATAGAGGTTTTTCACTGAAGTATTTTAATATTTTATTGTTTCTTATTTTATTACAATATTAAGTTAGGCTCTATTTATTTATTCGTATTTTATTTATATTAATCTTTTATTTTGTTGTTTATTTACAGCTGTGGACGATGACCTAGGAGAGTTATTGACAGATCTGACGGGATGGCGGGAAATTTGAAGCATGTCGTTAATATGGCAAACTCCATTGTTGGGGTGTCTATCCTGTCCATGCCATACTGTTTTAAGGAGGTAAGAGTCTATCATGTCCATGCTATACTGTTTTAAGGAGGTAAGAGTCTATCCTGTCCATGCCATACTGTTTTAAGGAGGTAAGAGTCTATCCTGTCCATACTATACTGTTTTAAGGAGGTAAGAGTCTATCCTGTCCATGCTATACTGTTTTAAGGAGGTAAGAGTCTATCCTGTCTTTGCTATACTGTTTTAAGGAGGTAAGAGGCTATCCTGTCCATGCTATACTGTTTTAAGGAGGTAAGAGTCTATCCTGTCTTTGCTATACTGTTTTAAGGAGGTAAGAGTCTATCCTGTCTTTGCTATACTGTTTTAAGGAGGTAAGAGTCTATCCTGTCCATGCTATACTGTTTTAAGGAGGTAAGAGTCTATCCTGTCCATGCCATACTGTTTTAAGGAGGTAAGAGGCTATCCTGTCCTTGCTATACTGTTTTAAGGAGGTAAGAGTCTATCCTGTCCATGCTATACTGTTTTAAGGAGGTAAGAGTCTATCCTGTCCATGCTATACTGTTTTAAGGAGGTAAGAGTCTATCCTGTCTTTGCTATACTGTTTTAAGGAGGTAAGAGTCTATCCTGTCTTTGCTATACTGTTTTAAGGAGGTAAGAGTCTATCCTGTCCATGCTATACTGTTTTAAGGAGGTAAGAGGCTATCCTGTCTTTGCTATACTGTTTTAAGGAGGTAAGAGTTCATTCTGTCCATGCTATACTGTTTAAGGAGGTAAGAGTCTATCCTGTCCATGCCATACTGTTTTAAGGAGGTAAAAAGAGGCTATCCTGTCTTTTGCTATACTGCTTAAGGAGGTAAGAGTCTATCCCGTCCATGCCATACTGTTTTAAGGAGGTAAGAGTCTATCCTGTCCATGCCATACTGTTTTAAGGAGGTAAGAGGCCATCATGTCTTTGCTATATACTGTTTTAAGGAGGTAAGAGTCTATCCTGTCCATGCTATACTGTTTTAAGGAGGTAAGAGTCTATCCTGTCCATGCCATACTGTTTTAAGGAGGTAAGAGGCTATCCTGTCTTTGCTATACTGTTTTAAGGAGGTAAGAGTCTATCCTGTCCATGCTATACTGTTTTAAGGAGGTAAGAGTCTATCCTGTCTTTGCTATACTGTTTTAAGGAGGTAAGAGTCTATTCTGTCCATGCTATACTGTTTTAAGGAGGTAAGAGTCTATCCTGTCCATGCCATACTGTTTTAAGGAGGTAAGAGGCTATCCTGTCCATGCTATACTGTTTCAAGGAGGTAAGAGTCTATCCTGTCTTTGCTATACTGTTTTTAGGAGGTAAGAGTCTATCCTGTCCATGCTATACTGTTTTAAGGAGGTAAGAGTCTATCCTGTCTTTGCTATACTGTTTTAAGGAGGTAAGAGTCTATCCTGTCTTTGCTATACTGTTTTAAGGAGGTAAGAGTCTATCCTGTCCATGCCATACTGTTTTAAGGAGGTAAGAGTCTATCCTGTCTTTGCTATACCGTTTTAAGGAGGTAAGAGTCTATCCTGTCCATGCCATACTGTTTTAAGGAGGTAAGAGTCTATCCTGTCCATGCCATACTGTTTTAAGGAGGTAAGAGTCTATCCTGTCAATGCTATACTGTTTTAAGGAGGTAAGAGTCTATCCTCTCTTTGCTATACTGTTTTAAGGAGGTAAGAGTCTATCCTGTCTTTGCTATACTGTTTTAAGGAGGTAAGAGTCTATCCTGTCAATGCTATACTGTTTTAAGGAGGTAAGAGTCTATCCTGTCCATGCCATACTGTTTTAAGGAGGTAAGAGTCTATCCTGTCAATGCTATACTGTTTTAAGGAGGTAAGAGTCTATCCTGTCCATGCCATACTGTTTTAAGGAGGTAAGAGTCTATCCTGTCAATGCTATACTGTTTTAAGGAGGTAAGAGTCTATCCTGTCTTTGCTATACTGTTTTAAGGAGGTAAGAGTCTATCCTGTCTTTGCTATACTGTTTTAAGGAGGTAAGAGTCTATCCTGTCTTTGCTATACCGTTTTAAGGAGGTAAGAGTCTATCCTGTCCATGCCATACTGTTTTAAGGATGTAAGAGTCTATCCTGTTCATATCTAGATTGCATCATTAATTGTCGGGGTCAATCATGGTGAAGTTACAGTGTACACCTAACCCAACCTCACCTAACCTCACCAAACCCAACCTCACCTCACCCAACCCAACCTCACCTCACCTAACCTCACCTCACCCAACCCAACACAACCTCACCTCACCCAACCTCACCTCACCCAACCCAACCTCACCTAACCTAACCTCACCAAACCCAACCCAACCCAACCTCACCAAACCCAACCTAACCTATACACGTCTTTATGTTCCTTTGCTTCTATCGTAACTCGCCTATCAGGTAGGTACAGTATAACACAGATCCGACGGCCCCCTAATGATCATCTCCGTGTTTCCTGACCCCCAACAGACTGGCCTGGTGCTGGGTATACTCCTGGTGCTGCTGAGTGGAGTCGTGACCAAAAAGACGTGCTTGTTTCTGGTGCGTTCGGCGATCATGGCGCGCAGGAGGAGCTATGAGTTTCTCGGTACGTGAGGATTATGTTATTCGTGATTTGTTTTGTGTTTGTGTTTTTCTGTTGTTGTTTATAGTAAATGATTTGGTTTTACTGTATTTTGTTTATTGTTTACTGTAGATGATGTATAGATGCTGTATTGTCGTTCAGATTCTTGAGTATAATGTATTGGTGGTGGTCACATTTATACATGGCGAATTTATTCCTATTTTTGTAGATTTATTATTTCATGACATTTAAATTGGTGCCCTCAGATCCACACAAGGATAGCATTGGAAATAAGCCTTTAACCCATTCACCACGAGGACGCCGTTTTTAATATTTAAATTTGGCTAACTCAAGATGATTTGATTCAGCTCTGAGGGGACCCCATACACGAGGGGTTAATGTCTCTTTCGGGCTGTGTCGATAACCCACCTCAGTAGTGAATAGGAATAACCTCGAGTCCCTTACATTGCAGCGTTTCATGTGTTTGGGGTGAGCGGGAAGTTGTTTGTGGAGGTGTGTATGATCCTCTTCCTGGTGGGGATCTGTATATCCTTCCACGTGGTGATGGGTGACCTCGCACCGGCCATAGTCGCCCGGCTGATGAACGTGGAAAACTCGCCCCCTCTCCGCTGTACGCTACTTATTGGTGAGTGTTGACTGTGTGTGTGTGTGTGTGTGTGTGTGTACTTCTTATTGACTTGTGTACATTTCTTATTGACTGTGTATACTACTTTGTGTATACTACTTATTGGTGAACATTGACTGTACACTTCTTGTTGACTCTAAATACTTCTTATTTATGAGTGTTAAATGTTGAGATCACCTGAAGACTTATCCCCCCCACCTTATTTCACCTGAATTAAGATTAATCTCCCTAATGCTAACCTAATAAAACCTAACCTAACCATTATCAAACCTTACTTGACCACCTAACCCAACTTTACAGCACCATATGTAACCAAACCTAACTTGTACTGAATGTAATCAAACATGTAGTACCCTAACCTAACTTAACCTACTAACTGACCCCCCCACCGCCCCCCCCCCAGGTAGCATTAGGGGATTTAATCATCAGGTGAAATAAACTAGGGAGGTGGGCTAATCTTCAGGTACTCCTATATATATATTTAATGCTGGACCCACACCAGTATATACGATGAGTAACGTTTAATGCTGTCACGCCTCCATCACAGGCATAGCGCTACTGGTGGTGCTGCCGCTATGTCTACTGCGGAACTTAGACAGCCTGGCCTCCATGTCCGCCTGTTCCATCGGCTTCTACTTCTTCCTCATCTTCGTTGTGAGTCCGTCCTCCCGCCTCTCTCACTCACTGATGGAATATTATAGTTATACCTGTAAAAGTCTAAAAAAAAAAGTTATAGTGTAGGAAATAATGGTCACTTTTTTTTTTTATAGACGTGAAGAAAGTTCGTTGTTTATTTTTTTTCTCCAATTTTTAGCTTATTTTATGTATTTTAGTCTCGTATAGTATCACAAGATTAAAATGGTTGGTAATTGAACGTTATATTTCATTTGTTAATTATTATAAAGTTAAAATGTTTCCCCTAGAAGTTTGTTGTTATTGTGTACGAAGACATTTTGGGGTGAATTAGGGACATGTTATTTATGTGTCTGTCTTGTTGTGATTGACATGACTAACAACACATTTTGTGGGTGATTGACATGACTAACAACACATTTGGTGGGTGATTGACATGACTAACAACACATTTTGTGGGTGATTGACATGACTAACAACACATTTTGTGGGTGATTGACATGACTAACAACACATTTTGTGGGTGATTGACATGACTAACAACACATTTTGTGGGTGATTGACATGACTAACAACACATTTTGTGGGTGATTGACATGACTAACAACACATTTGGTGGGTGATTGACATGACTAACAACACATTTGGTGGGTGATTGACATGACTAACAACACATTTTGTGGGTGATTGACATGACTAACAACACATTTGTGGGTGATTGACATGACTAACAACACACATTTGACATGACTAACAACACATTTTGTGGGTGATTGACATGACTAACAACACATTTGTGGGTGATTGACATGACTAACAACACATTTGGTGGGTGATTGACATGACTAACAACACATTTGGTGGGTGATTGACATGACTAACAACACATTTGGTGGGTGATTGACATGACTAACGACACATTTGGTGGGTGATTGACATGACTAACAACACATTTGTGGGTGATTGACATGACTAACAACACATTTGTGGGTGATTGACATGACTAACAACACATTTTGTGGGTGATTGACATGACTAACAACACATTTGGTGGGTGATTGACATGACTAACAACACATTTGTGGGTGATTGACATGACTAACAACACATTTGGTGGGTGATTGACATGACTAACAACACATTTGGTGGGTGATTGACATGACTAACAACACATTTGGTGGGTGATTGACATGACTAACAACACATTTTGTGGGTGATTGACATGACTAACAACACATTTGGTGGGTGATTGACATGACTAACAACACATTTGGTGGGTGATTGACATGACTAACAACACATTTTGTGGGTGATTGACATGACTAACAACACATTTGGTGGGTGATTGACATGACTAACAACACATTTGGTGGGTGATTGACATGACTAACAACACATTTGGTGGGTGATTGACATGACTAACAACACATTTTGATATTTTATTTGACTAACACAAGACCATTTTATTCAGCTCAGAGAGAGGGAGGGTCCCCATACACAAGGCATTGATCTTTCACAGCCATTTATTCCCTCTGGCGGCCTTACCAGATGTACATGTGGCTCTATTTTGACAGATTTTTTGGCACGCTTTCCCGAGGTTAATGGACGGATCTTGGTACCATGTGGCTGAACTGATGCGGCCGTCGGGTGCACTCCAGGTCCTACCCATCTGTGTGCTGGGGCTGTCATGCCAGAGGTCAGTACTGTGTGTGTGTGTGTGTGTCTGTGTTAGGGGGGGGGGTTGTATACAGCAAGGATAGTCAAAATACACAGGAATACCCCGGTTATCGCAACGAATCCATTCCTAAAAGTCATTGCAATTAATGAAACTGCTAATATCAGGGCAATTTTCTCCCCCATATGAATTAATGTAAATATTGGGGATGTATTCCCAGCTGGCAACTTTCACCACATATTTTTTAAGATATACTCCTCATTATCCAAGGCTATTAGGGACCAGGGTCACATGTTTACCGTAGCACCAGTAAATGTGTGGAATAAATAAGAATTATACTGGCAAATAAAATAAAGGGGAAAAAATACCGCATTGACAATAGTTTTACTGCGCACTGAAGGTTGGAGTGACTTAGATCTCCATTACTGCCTCCTCCTCCTCCTCCGACAATCTGGGGGGCTCGCGGTAAGAGACGTTTTCTTTATGACCTTATGATTCTCTCTTTTTATTCCACGTTCTTTATGAATATTGTGTGTGTGTAGGTAACAGAGTGAGAAATAATAATATATCTGTCTACCTGAAAATGTGGGTTAGAAAATTATAATACTGTACCCAACTCACAGCACATATGTGGGTTACTTCACACACACACACACACACACACACACACACACACACACTCACACTCTGTGTAATATTATGATTTACCTCACATCACCCAGTCCAGTAACCATAAGTATCTCTACACCACCTGCAACCACCCATCCTCCCCCCTCCCTCTCCCTGCACCCTCCCTGCACCCCCTGCACCCCCTCCCTCTCCCTGCCCCCTCCTCTGCACCCCCTCCCTCTCCCCTGCACCCCCTCCCTCCCCTGCACCCCCTCCCTCTCCCTGCATCCCCTTCCTCTCCCCTGCACCCCGCACCCCTCCTCTCCCTGCACCTCCCTCTCCTGCACCCCCTCCCCTCGCACCCCCTCCCTCCCTGCACCCCTCCCTCTCCCCCACCCCTCCCTCTCCCTGCACCCCCCTCCCTCTCCCTGCACCTCCCTCCCTCCCTCCTGCACCCTCCTCCCTCTCCCTGCACCTCTCCTCCCTCTCCTCCTCCCTCCTAACGCTCCCAAAGATCGCTCACTAACTACCGTGGACATAATTGTTTATATTAATGTTTTTGGACCTTATGATAATATTTTCTATAATTTTTTTCCACATTCTGTATGCACAATTATGTGTGCATGTAACATAGTTAATTGAAGTTGAATGAAAATGCTTATATCTACTCAAAATTACTAGTCGAAAAATAACAAAGACGCGGGTGAAGCGGGCCTTACGTCGGAATTTAAAAGCTCGTCCAGTTTGAAATATTACTGTAAGGTATCGTAATTTTTTTATTTGTGAGTAAGCGGGTGTATGCCTTACGATTGGGGGCGTTAACACATCAATTGCGGATAAACGGAGTTGTGTTTATCGAGGTTGGAAATAGCGAAGTGTTCCTGCATCGTATATATTTCTCCTCGGAGTTTAAGTCCCCCTTTTTCATTGGTCAGAAGTTGGTTTTATTCACAGTTCTTGTTGGATTAATACACGAGGAAGAACTTACAGGATGTGTATTGAATATTTGCTTTATTAACATATATTCTGTAGCTGGTTAGATTTTGCCTATAGATTAGATGACATTCCATTATATTTTTAGACTGTCGCTGTACACACACTATTTACTTAAGTCATTTTCTTCCTTGGATGAATGCAACTTTTTTTTTTATTAACCCAAACAAGAATAAAAAATGGCCATAAAGCATAAATGATGTTGATAATGATGGCTATAATGATGGTGAGAATGATAGAATAATAATGACGACGTACGCGAATCTTTACCAAGTCTTCTTCGGTCTACATCTTTCAGCAACGTGTTCGAGATCTACGACTCCATACCTGATCCCGACGTGCCCAAGATGAGGTCGGTAGTGAACCAGGCTGTCAACCTCTGCTGTGCTCTCTACATCATGGTTGGGTTCTTGGGTTACGTGGCCTTCGTTGATCAGGACCTGGCGGGTAAATTGACGTTTTTTTTTTTTTTTTGGGGGGGGTTGTGAATGACTGGGGGATGTATACAGTAGTGGCGAGGGGTTGTTAGAGGTGGTTAGGTTAGGTTAGATTACTTTAGGTTAGGTTAATAGGTTAAGTTATGTTGGGTTAGTTGAAGTTAGGTTATTAGATTAGTTTAAGTTAGGTAGGTTAGATTGTTAGAGTAGTTTTAAGTTGGGTTAGGTTAAGTTAAATGCACAGGTGTAGAACTGTGGTAATATTCTTCCTGTTGCTGAATTTTTTTTTTAATGTTTTACCTTTGACTCGATCACCAAACCACCCAATTAAACATATACTATTAATTAATCGTCTTCTATCCATCAGGTAACCTCATCCTCAATTTCCCGAACTCTCAGCTGACGGAGGGGATCAAGGTCTTCTTCACGGTGTCCCTGGCCATAAGCTTCCCCCTGATGATCTTCCCGTGCCGAACATCCATCCACTCCCTTCTGTACCGACGGGTAGGCTGATGCGGCTCACGTCACCCCGTTCATTATTTCTTCCGGTTCTTTCATTCTTGATGGATGACTGTACGGGTTGTGAAACGTTCCGAGTTATGTTTTGAAATGTGGATGATGTTTTGGTTTGGAATGTACGGTACTGTGTCGTGTTGTCTTTTTCCCCGTCTTGAGAGGGAGGTGACGTGTGGAGTATCTTCTTGCATTGTACACTCATTCTCTCACTCTCTCTCACTCACTCACTCTCTCTCTTACTCACTTATGCACTCACTAACTCCCGCACTCACTCACACACTCACTCACTCACTCTCTCTCTTACTCACTTATGCACTCACTAACTCCCGCACTCACACACTCACTCACTTTCTCATCTTACACAGTAATTTTTAAACATTTCCTCACAATCAGATTTTTGTCAACTGTTACACTGTCATATTGGTTTAGGTTAGGTTAGGTTTAGGTTTGGTTAGGTTAGGTTTAGGTTAGGTTAGGTTTGGGTCGGTTAGGTTATTATAGCGATGATGAGTGACTGTGTGGTTTAGTTGGTGAGTGGGTTGTGATTGTTCCTATAGAGGTTGTTAGTTACTGTATATCTTTGCTAATGATTGGGTGGTGTTATAGTGGGGGTTGTGATTAGGTTAGTGTGTGAGATATTAGTTACTGGTGATTGAGGGTGTTATAGTAGGGTTGTGGTTGTGGAGATGAACAATAACTCGTGACTAGAGAAGGTTGTACACACTACTTGTCACCCAACAAGGAACGTGGCAAGTGGCATATAGTGAAACCTCAGTAGAATGGACCCTCGGTATAATGGACTCTCCTCTCTATAGTTCGTTAGATGGGGGTTTCACATATAACAGACCCTCGATATAATGGACTTTCCTCTATATATAGTTTGTTAGATGGGGGTTTCACATCTAACAGACCCTCGATATAATGGACTTTCCTCTATATATAGTTTGTTAGATGGGGGTTTCACATCTAACAGACCCTCGATATACAGTGGGGTATGCTATAACAAATCTAATTTGTTCTAGAACCTTGTTCGTTATAGCATTCGTTCGTTATAGGATTAATCCGTTCCAGGCCCCCAAATACAACCACTTAACACTGAAAAATATAATATAAAATTATAAAAATTGTAAAAAAGTGCATAAATATGCATCTAAACCCCTCAAATAAAGAATATCATTAATACTTGTAATAAAAAAACAATAAATTAGTAAAAAGAAAAAAAATTCGTTGTACGAGTTGCGTTCGTTATATAGCATTCTCAATTTTATAGGTAAAACCGTTCGTTATAGGAATATTCGTAGTAGAATCCATTCGTTATAGCATACCCCACTGTAGTGGAGTTTCCTCTCTATAGTTCGTTAGATGGAGGTTTCACATCTAACAGACCCTAGATATAATGGACTTTCCTCTCTATACAGTCTGCTAAATAGAGACTTCACTGTGCATGATATAGATTGATAAAATTCGTCTTATATTTTCACATTCATACATGATGTGCTTAATGCATTCTAGTCTAACACATAGAGTATATGTATCAGTCTGTCTGAGGGTTGGCGACCACAGCCCTCTAACCCCTCCCCCCCCCTAAAAAAATAAATAAATTTTCCGGGCTGTTTTCACCAACCTTCCTTAATTTTGCATCTCTCTTGGGACTACAGCTCTTATTTTTATCATATATCCTTTTAGTTTGATTTATTTGAAAAAAAAAACATACTGTATACTGTAAATATTATTATTTAAACATTTTAGTTACTTTTTTTTTTTTACATTTTGTTTGTTAATTAAGCACTGAAAAGTTTTTGTTTTTTTTTAACTTGTAATATTTGCAGTCAATACATTTCAGCAACAAGTTCCAATTGGTGCTCATAGCAGTATTTCACAAGAGGTAACCTTTATACTTTGCCCCTGTTCCTTCTTCTTGACGTTGCACATAATAACTCTCCATGCCACAGCAGCACTTGACTCTCATCAACAGAGATAAAGCTTAAAGCAAAGATAAAATTTTATGAGGCCTGGAGGAGGACTTTCTTGCACGGACTGATCCAATTGTGATAAATATTGTGTATGACTGCCAAGTGGAAGAGCCTTCAGGAGTCTTGTCCCACTGTTATGCAGAGACTCATTATGGAAGATGGGAAAGAAACTCCCTCGTCGTGTGACTGGATCATCCGACAAACAAATGATCAAATAGTAAAGTTTTGTTGGGAACCTGCAAGATGGTTTTGCCAAGAGTTTTTTGGGGAGATTCATCACACAAGTACAGTACAGTATTTTATTAATCGTCTAAATATATGTCTGAACAAACCGACATCTTCAAATATCGAGCAACATTATGCATCTGGAAATATCTGGACTATATAAAGGTAGTCAAACTGTACTGGAAATTCAATAGATGGCGCTACTGTTCAGCATCACATTTAATGGTGTACTTAGGGCAACCACTTTCCAATCTTCCATATATAGTCCTTGGATGTTGTGCACAATGGACAGTAGAGAGATAAATACAGTAGTGTGTAAAGGTTATGATTGTACCAGTCCTCTTAAGAAAGTCTTTCATGGGCTTCTAAACCACATTTCTTCTTCACTTCTGGTTCGATCTTGGGAGGGGGACAGGTCGCTTGTATACCCGGAACAAAGTTAATCTGATGTGCCCATGTAAGAAAGTTAAACCCAACTAAAACTAAAACAGGATTATATATAAACTTATAAAAGAAAAATATAACTGAAAAGATAATAGATATAATTCTCTATAAAATAACTAATGTAATTCGGTGTTACATGAAGGTGTATAGGAAAGGCAGAGAAATAGTTAATTAGGTAGATAAATTTTTTTACCTCTGGCCACATTTCCATTAAATAGTGAACCTGTTTTGATTAATGGACACTATTGTATGGGTCTGTCTATTCATGTAGTTACTGTATCTGTAAAGTTATCACTGGTCAGGAACATAACTCGTGCGTCAGTACAGATATAAAACTCCGCGTGAATCTCTCTTGTCACGAGATGGGTCACACAGCACACAGGCAAAAGTCACTGGGTAAATTTGCCACAGTTGAACCATGTATAGTGTGTGTGTGTGTACAGTACTCCCTCGGGCCTCCATGGACAGTACTCCCTAGGGCCTCCATGGACAGTACTCCCTAGGGCCTCCATGGACAGTACTCCCAAGGGCCTCCATGGACAGTACTCCCTAGGACCTCCATGGGCAGTACTCCCTAGGGCCTCCATGGCAGTACTCCCTCGGGCCTCCATGGCAGTACTCCCTAGGGCCTCCATGGGCAGTACTCCCTAGGGCCTCCATGGACAGTACTCCCTAGGGCCTCCATGGGCAGTACTCCCTCGGGCTTCCATGGACAGACTTAACACTTTTGAGAGGACCAGCAGTGAAAAAGAAACTAATAAATAATAAATAAAGGCTTTTTTTTTTGTGCATGACCGAAGCGTGTGTGGTAACGAAGCAGTTGATAAATGCATAAATTACGGTATGAGGAAATAAAAAGCTTTCATCTCATTTTATTTCTGTCACTATTAAACCCCATTGATATTTTCTGGCAAAGAACTATGACTGACTACTTTTTTGCTTTTTCTTAGACATTACTTTCTTTTCCTTTTATTCTTTGGGAGGTTTATTAAAATGGAAATATATATTACAACAACTTCCCTTCAAATCTGTACACACGCTTTGTTAGGCAGTGGTCGGGGTTGAGGCTGTTATGGTATCAAACAGGTCTAAAGAAGATGGTCAAGATATGGTAATGTACAGCTTTGACCAGGACGATTCACTTTGGTTTTATAGGAGTTAATTTTACCTCCAGTGCAAAGGCTTGACAAAGTGGCGAAAAATATAAATATTCCGGTAAATAACAGGATTCAACTAAACCTCTCCTAGTCAGCCCATGCAGCACGAGAGAAAGTTAATGAATCTATTGTTTAAACGCTTCACATCTAATGCACTGTACTCACTAACCTGACTCATTTGTTAGGCTGGTCTCCATTCATACACACACACATACATACATAATTCTTTGCCTCTGTACTGTACAAGGAGCACGTCTCGTCACTTCCCTGATCTATAGTCATGGTTAAAACTCTGTTGCTCCACGGACCCTAAGATTCAGACTCATGAACCTGAAGCAGTAGATTGATATATTATTTTGTTCACTGATGCTAGGGTTAACAAGTCTGAATCTCGGGCTTGTGGAACAGGAGGAGAGGCAACAGGACTTCTGAAACTGTGGTAGTGGGGGACATTAGCTCCTTTAGGGTCGGACTTATTTGAGATACATTTATTTCCTTACCTTACCTAACCAAACCTAACCCAACACAACTTTACTCAACCTAACCTCTTTTAAATTCTTAGACACGCTTATTTCAGCTCATTATAAAACCAAAGTGAATATTCTTAAAGCACTTTCCAAGGAACATAAGGCTGGTATGGTACTGTAGTTAGTTTTGTTTTTTTCTGAAGTTATATCAGGGTCTTGTAGCTAGCACGCATCCCTCTTTGGAGAACTGTGATGTATGGGGGAGGTCAAGGTGTTTGTCTGTGGGTGGAGAAATCAATGTCGTGCCATCTCAAACGTACGAAAAAACAAGTTCGGGAGTTGTTTTTTTTTGTCCTCCGGTGAATCCTAGATGTTGGTCTGTGTTTGAGAGCAGCAGCAGAGTTAGTATGGCACTGATGTTTATGCTTGTGACCACACCATGAATGTCTACTTTACACACACACATACACGCACACACATACCACTTGCACACATACACACATACCACTCGCACACATACACACACACACAGACACATAGTATCATGCCAATTGTGAAGACCTGATATGATCTCTTAAGCAATAGTGAGTGAACTTTTCTTGCATCCTCTGTACAGTAGTTACTTGTGGGCACTGTCATGACACAGTTCATTCCTCACTGATGTTGCTGTTTTTTGGATGAAACTTAAGTACACGAATACACACAGTGAGAAAAGTGTGTGTACATACATATTATATTTGGTTTTAAGCTTACATTACAGGAAAAGTTAGGTTAATATTGCTGTTTTTTAGGTGATAGAAGGAAAGTTATTCTCTGGTCTGTAGTTTTGATAATGACAACAGAAAACATGGAGAGACAGGGATAACTTAACCTAACCCAACCTAACCTAACAACACCTCACCAAACCTAACCCAACCTAACAACACCTCACCTAACCTAATCTCAAGTCAGGTTCTTCAGCCCATCAAAGGCATTATTGAGATACAGTAAGTCCTCACTTAACATCGTCCCGCTTAACATTGTTTCGGTACTACATCGCTGAACTTTAGAGATAAAAAATTCGTTTAATGCCCCGGTGATCCGATACTACGTCGTTTTGTGTCGTCACCGACTACTTTCTACGGTGCATCACCCGCTCTTGTCTGGCCGCGCTACGCTCTCTCGGCTCGGCGCGCTGCCCTCACTTGCAGAATGTCACAGCGTCCCCAAGCGATGCCAAGCCAGTCTCTGTTACGACTTCACATCATTCATGTGTGCTTAAGTGTTTTTGCTCTAAAACTGTACTCTAACCATTCAAAATGGCTTCCAAGCTCCCATCAAGTGCTACTGATGCTAGTGCAGTGAAGAGGCAATGTAAGACCATTACCCTGCCTACAAAAATGGATGTATTGACCCGATTAAAAAAAGGGGAACGTGCTGTGGACATAGCCGCTGTGCTTGGTCTAACCCCCACAACGGTGCTTACTATCCGAACCAACGCTGACAAAATTAAGGTTAGTGCTGGAAGTGGTTCTTCTCTGAGTGCTACTAAGACGACTCGGACTAGAAGCACTGTGATAGAGAAGGTGGAAAAGATGCTGGCAATGTGGATGGAGGACCAGAATCAACACAATGCCCCCGTGAGCCTTATCGTTATCCAGCATAAGGCCAGATCCTTGTTTGACGACATAAAGGAAACAGAGGGTGAAGGATGGAAGGAAGAGACCTTTACGGCCAGCCGAGGATGGTTTCAACGATTTAAGCGTCGTTATAACTTCCTCAACATAAAGATGACTGGTGAAGCTGCCAGTTCAGATACGGTTGCTGCCGAGACGTTCCCGCCAGAATTCAAACGGATTATCCAGGAAGGCAGCTACTCACCGAAGCAAGTCTTCAATGTGGATGAGACTGGTCTCTTTTGGAAGAGGATGCCTGAGAGGACCTATATCTCCAAGGAGGAGAAAAGAGCGCCAGGTTTTAAAGCAGCAAAAGACTGCTTGGCGCGAACGCTGCCAGTGACTTCAAACTGAAGCTTATGCTGATTTCTCACGCTGCCAACCCACGGGCCTTGAAAGGTTACTCTAAGGATCACTTTCCTGTCATTTACAAGGCAAACAAAAAGGCATGGATAACCGGCGCCATATATAGCCAGTGGTTAACCATGTATGCCGTCCCTGCACTGAAAGAATACTGTGCCAAGGAGAACCTTGACTTCAAAATTCTTCTTGTCGTTGACAATGCTCCAGCTCATCCTCCCAATCTCGACGACTTGCATGACAGTGTAAAAGTTGTATTCCTGCCTCCCAACACGACAGCACTGATGCAGCCTATGGACCAAGGCGTCATCGCCTTATTCAAGGAGTACAGGTATTATTTACTCCGTATAATGGCCCAGCTGCTCAAGGCTACAGGCGGAGAAAATAAACCAATGATCCGAGAATATTGGCGCAGCTTCAACATTCTTCATGCAATTGACAATACTGTATTTGCAAGGCATGGGAAGAAGTTTCAGAAAGTTGCCTGAATAGTGTGTGGCGTAAACTGTGGCCCGAGTGCGTCAACAGTTTTACGCTGATTCACGGACTTAGTCCCAGCTGTGAATAGGGATATCCTCAGCTTGGCTAGACAGGCAGGCTTTGATGAGCTGGAATCAGAGAATATTGAGGACGTCCTGGCATCCCATACAGAAGAGCTACCCAACGAAGATCTGCAACAGCTAACAGAACACAGTCCTGTTGAAGAAGACGACGACGAAGAAGAACCTCAATGGACGCTAACTTCCAAGAGGATGGCAGAATCGTTGAACATGTTCCAGCAAGGAATACAAATAATTCTAGATGACGACCCAACCAGAGAACGTAGCTCAAAGGTTCAACGCAGCATTGAGGACAGTCTTGGTTGCTACACCGAGATCTATGAGGAGAAGAAGATGAATAGCACCAAGCAGTCGACACTGGATTCATTTTTTTCGACGCAGGATGGCAGGAGCTTCTTCACAACAGCCGGCAGCCGAGGAGGAGCAAACAACAACGGAGGAGGAGCAAGCAGTGGCAGCGGAGGAACCCCAGTCAGAGCAGGAGGAGGAGGAGGAGGAGGCAGCCGCAGAGTCTCAGTGACCTGCAATAATTTTCTGTATATGTAATTTTTTTCATGGGGCAAAGGGAGGCTCAGGAACGTAACTCCCGTATTTTTTCTATTTCTTACGTGGGAAAATTGATCCGCTTAAAGTTGTTTCGCTTAAAGTTGCATTTTCAGGAACGTAACCCCGACGTTAAGCGAGGACTTACTGTAGTGAATTACATATTACTCACACTTTGTAGGACAGGTCTTAACTACACAGCATTTGGGGGGGTCAGGATTCATCCCTTAAAAGAAGAAGAAAAAGAGGAAAAAAAAGGAAAAGGGGAAAGAAGAAGAGAAGGAATAATAATAATAAGAACGTTCCCTGTTAGAATATCCTCCACATATTAATTATTGTTATTATTATTGTCTTTTGTCTCCGGGTCACCAGAACTTAATAACAGTTCAGGTGTTTTAGAAGAGCTTGAGTTTAGGGTTATATTTCCACTGTTATATACCGGGGTGTTTATGGTACGTTATCACCCTTATGAACCTTTACAATAGAGCTGCAGATTGTGTGGTTTTGTGATCTATTTGTAGTGTGTACACACACACACACACTCACACACACACACACTCTCTCTCTCTCTCTCTCTCTCTCTCTCTCTCTCTCTCTCTCTCTCTCTCTCTCTCTTCCTCTTAAAGGGATTAAATGGCTACAATTCACACATTTATATATTTCATGAGCTGCTTTTGTAACTCTGCTACATAATTCTGTTTTATTATCAGTTGATTTTGGTTCATTGTTTTGTATTTGCTGTTTTTTTTTTTGGTTTTTGGTGTGTTTGGTTGGGTTTTGTGTTTGTTGGGTGTGTTTGTGTGTTGGTTGGGTTTTGTGTTTGTTGGGTGTGTTTGTGTGTTGGTTGGGTTTTGTGTTTGTGTGTTGGTTGGGTTTTGTGTGTTGGTTGTGTGTGTTGCTTCACCCTTAACAACATAACACACACAGAAACAGACAGACAGAGAGAAAGAGAGAGAGAGAGAGAGAGAGAGAGATCCCACCAGTACTATAGTATATACCAACTTTAAACACACACACACACACTCACTCACACTCACACTCACTTACACACACACACACACACACACAGAGGTCCCAGCAAATTAAGCCAATGATATGACCCCCTGTGTAAACTGTACCATGACTGTATTCATCCAATCTCAGAGAGCCTTTTGTCAGCTCCATAAACAACAAAATATTCTCTTTTGATAATATTTCTACTGGCATTTTTTGACTGGTTTTCTTTTTGGGGGAAATTGTGCCCGTTTATGAATGCCTTTTTTATTGTTTTCTTATTTCTCTGTATTTTTTTTTGTTCATTTCCTTCTTCTTCTTCAGCTTAATTGCTTTATGAAATAGATTATGTATTTTATATAATTATTTCCTGATATATTTTCATTATTATTCAAGCTCTTAAGTCTTGTTTATTTACTTATTATCATGGAATAAGAATCAAAATCTTACACTCATTTCTTTTTCATTTTTAATAACCAAATTTTCCCTTGTTTTCATCCTCCTACAGTACACATGTTCAGTCACTCTTAAAACCCTGTCCAACGATTACAATAAAGCTTTACTGCTGCTGTAGTTTGATTTTGTAACGACTGATCATAAAATACAGTAACTTTTAAAACCCGGGTAGACAGTAGACAGGCCGAACAGTAACGCACCTCAGAGTAATATTTTTTAATACCTCTTCCATATCGCAGAATAACCCGTCCAGCTTCGACTTGGTGGGGAACTACATGCCAGAGGCGCGCTTCAAAGGCATCACCCTCGGCATCCTTACCACCAGTCTAGTCGTGGGCATCCTCATCCCTAACATTGGTGGGTCTTCTACTGTATACACACACACACACACACACACACACAGTAAGATAGATAGATAGATAGATAATTACTATAAATAAATAGATAGACAACATATAGATATATTCTGTAGATAGATAAATAGATTCTTTAGATAAATAAATATATATACATGATGTAGTTCAAGTTTTGTCCTAAAGTACTTGAATTTTTATCTTTGTATTGGGGTTTTGTTGATATTTGTATAGTATTTATTCTTCCTTGTTGTTTTTCTTCCCCACCAGAGTTTGTGTTGGGTCTACTGGGGTCAACTATGGGGATGCTGATCGCTCTTATTCTTCCCTCGATCCTGTTCATCAAAGTCAACTCCAAGGCTTCGGCTGAGAGACTCTTGGCGCAGGTGGGTCGTTGGCGCTTGTTACCCGTCTGTTTTTATGTGGTGTCACCTGTGTAGCAATGTGACCTTTATACAGTACCATTGTTACCCATGTTGTGTACCACTGTTCTCCATACACCAGTGTTATCCATATACTAATGATCTTTGGATATTAACCGTTAAACCACGGCCGTCATCTGTGGAAGTTAGCTGTAGGGACGGCAGCCATTATCTGTGGAAGTTAGCTGTAGGGACGGCAGCCATCATCTGTGGAAGTTAGCTGTAGGGATGGCAGCCATCATCTGTGGAAGTTAGCTGTAGGGATGGCAGCCATCATCTGTAGAGATTGGCTTCTTGGGGCGGCAGCCATCATCTGTGGAAGTTAGCGCTGTGGGCGGCTGCATCATCTGTGGAAGTTAGCTGTGGGAATGGCAACCATCATCTGTGAAGTTAGCTGTAGGGGCTGGCGTATGTCTGTAGAGATTGTGGCTGTAGGGCCATCATCTGCTGTCATCTGTGGAAGTTAGCTGTAGGGACGGCAGCCATCATCTTTGGAAGTTAGCTGTAGGGATGGCAGCCATCATCTGTGGAAGTTAGCTGTAGGGACGGCAGCCATCATCTGTGGAAGTTAGCTGTAGGGACGGCAGCCATCATCTGTGGAAGTTAGCTGTAGGGACGGCAGCCATCATCTGTGGAAGTTAGCTGTAGGGACGGCAGCCATCATCTGTGCTGCTTACAGTCTATTTTTGTACATAAATGGGGGGAGGAGGTGGAGTAGGGAATCATTAGCCACCAGTTAGAGGTTAATTGTGAACTGAATTAAACTACAAACCAAGCCCCACCTGCTCTTGATATTCTCAGCCACCGGTGCATTAGGAAACTCGTGACCATTTCCATTTCAGTATTTATTACAGTGTAATTTATCCATTTGATAACATTAAAATATGATTATATTAAACATTGAAATATTTTAGGGTTTATTTTCAGTTTTATCTTAGTAATGATACTCTACATGTGAAGGAGGAGGTGAGTCAGGGGTAGAGCAAGAGTGACATGGGGAGATGTAGTAAGAAATGACATTATAGTTAGGAACCTGATGAGAGAGACTGTACAATGTGTAAGGCGACCTTCAGGAAACCGTCACTAATCCTCACAAGTGTGGAAAATGGCCTAAGACAATGATAATACATAAAATAAGACTGTGTTAATAATCTAATAATAAAATAATCAATGGTGTTTGTGTTCTTTCAGACCATCATGCTGGTGGGCATTGTGCTGATAGTAACAGGAACGTACCTTAACCTGGCCCATATATACAAGGTTCAGGCGGAACAGACAGAGGTTGTCATCGCGAACATGATCAAGAATGACTTAGATCCCAACCTGCCTAACATAGAGAGTAAGTAATGATTCATCTCTTATTATGGGGATGTGGGGAGGGGTGTGTAGGTCTTGCTGAAGAGTTATGTTGGTTCTTCATAAATTTATCATAGGACTTACTGCTAAAACTCTCCTGTGTGAATAACAGAGTCCAACCAGGTATATGTATGGGGCAGTGTTGTTGATGAGGAGTTGATCAGTATTTTAGTGGAATTTTATCATAAAGTTTCATATTTATTCATCAGCTACAGAGACAATTCAGGTATACAATGATGAACAGTGTGGTATTTCAATCAAGCATAACTCATAACTGCACCACCAAAGATCACATTAATACAGTGTTTCAATCAAGCATAACTCATAACTGCACCACCAAAGATCACATTAATACAGTGTTTCAATCAAACATAACTCATAACACTGTACTACCAAAGATCACATTAATACAGTGTTTCAATCAAGCATAACTCATAACACTGTACTACCAAAGATCACATTAATACAGTGTTTCAATCAAGCATAACTCATAACACTGTACCACCAAAGATCACATTAATACAGTGTTTCAATCAAGCATAACTCATAACACTGCACCACCAAAGATCACATTAATACAGTGTTTCAATCAAAGCATAACTCATAACAATACCGAATCCACATTATTTGATGTTTTCAATCAACATAACTCATAACACTGCCACCAAAGATCACATTAATACCGGTATTTAATCAAACATAACTCATAACACTGTACCACCAAAGTCCATTTAATACAGTGTTTCAATCAAAACCATAACTCGCGAATATAATATACCCAAGATCACATTAATACGGTGTTCAATCAAACATAACTCATAACACTGCACCACCCAAAAGATCACATTAATACAGTGTTTCAATCAAACATAACTTTCATAACACTGCCACCAAAGATCTACATTAATACAGTGTTTCAATCAAGCATAACTCATAACACTGTACCACCAAAGATCACATTAATACAGTGTTTCAATCAAGCATAACTCATAACACTGTACCACCAAAGATCACATTAATACAGTGTTTCAATCAAGCATAACTCATAACACTGTACCACCAAAGATCACATTAATACAGTGTTTCAATCAAGCATAACTCATAACACTGTACCACCAAAGATCACATTAATACAGTGTTTCAATCAAACATAACTCATAACACTGTACCACCAAAGATCACATTAATACAGTGTTTCAATCAAGCATAACTCATAACACTGTACAACCAAAGATCACATTAATACAGTGTTTCAATCAAACATAACTCATAACACTGTACCACCAAAGAATCACATTAAGCACCAGTGTTTCAATCAAGAAGCATAACTACGCTGCTGTACCAAAGATCACATTAATACAGTGTTTCAATCAAAGTATAACTCATAACACTGTACCACAAAAGATCACGTGTACAGTGTTTCAGTGAAACATAACTCATAACACTGCACCACCGAATCACATTAATACAATTATTTCAATCAAGCGTAACTCATAACACTGTACCACCAAAGATCCACATTAATACAATTGTTTTCAATCAAACATAACTCATAACACTGCACCACCAAAGATCACATTAATACAGTGTTTCAATCAAGCATAACTCATAACACTGTACCACCAAAGATCACATTAATACAGTGTTTCAATCAAACATAACTCATAACACTGCACCACCAAAGATCACATTAATACAGTGTTTCAATCAAACATAACTCATAACACTGTACCACCAAAGATCACATTAATACAGTGTTTCAATCAAGCATGACTCATAACACTGTACCACCAAAGATCACATTAATACAGTGTTTCAATCAAACATAACTCATAACACTGCACCACCAAAGATCACATTAATACAGTGTTTCAATCAAGCATAACTCATAACACTGCACCACCAAAGATCACATTGCGTAAAATGTTTCAATCCGCTTATAACTCATAACACTGTACCACCAAAGATCACATTAATACAGTGTTTCAATCAAACATAACTCATAACACTGCACCACCAAAGATCACATTAATACAGTGTTTCAATCAAGCATAACTCATAACACTGCACCACCAAAGATCACATTAATACAGTGTTTCAATCAAACATAACTCATAACACTGTACCACCAAAGATCACATTAATACAGTGTTTCAATCAAACATAACTCATAACACTGTACCACCAAAGATCACATTAATACAGTGTTTCAATCAAACATAACTCATAACACTGTACCACCAAAGATCACATTAATACAGTGTTTCAATCAAGCATAACTCATAACACTGTACCACCAAAGATCACATGAATACAGTGTTTCAATCAAGCATAACTCATAACACTGCACCACCAAAGATCACATTAATACAGTGTTTCAATCAAGCATAACTCATAACACTGTACTACCAAAGATCACATTAATACAGTGTTTCAATCAAACATAACTCATAACACTGTACCACCAAAGATCACATTAATACAGTGTTTCAATCAAACATAACTCATAACACTGTACCACCAAAGATCACATTAATACAGTGTTTCAATCAAGCATAACTCATAACACTGCATCACCAAAGATCACATTAATACAGTGTTTCAATCAAACATAACTCATAACACTGTACCACCAAAGATCACATTAATACAGTGTTTCAATCAAGCATAACTCATAACACTGTACCACCAAAGATCACATTAATACAGTGTTTCAATCTGAAAGCATAACTCATAACACTGTACCAAAGATCCCACATTAATACAGTGTTTCAATCAAGCATAACTCGCAACACTGCTGCCACCAAAAGATCACATTAATGCAGTGTTTCAATCCAAGCATAACTCAACACTGTACCACAAAAGATCACATTAATACAGTGTTTCAATCAAAAAACATAACTCATAACTTGCTGTACCACCAAGATCACATTAATACAGTGTGTTTCAATCAACATAACTACGCTTTCTTACCACCAAAGATCCACATTAATGCAGTGTTTCAATCAATATAACTCATAACACTGTACCACCAAAAGATCACATTATTACCAGTGTTTTCAATCAAGCACAACTCATAACACTGTACCAAAGAGATCACATTAATACGGTGTTTTCAATCAAACTTATAACTCATAACACCTGCCACCAAAGATCCCGCATTAATACAGTGTTTCAATCAAACATAACTCATAACACTGTACCACCAAAGATCACATTAATACAGTGTTTCAATCAAACATAACTCATAACACTGCACCACCAAAGATCACATTAATACAGTGTTTCAATCAAGCATAACTCATAACACTGCACCACCAAAGATCACATTAATACAGTGTTTCAATCAAACATAACTCATAACACTGTACCACCAAAGATCACATTAATACAGTGTTTCAATCAAACATAACTCATAACACTGTACCACCAAAGATCACATTAATACAGTGTTTCAATCAAGCATAACTCATAACACTGTACCACCAAAGATCACATGAATACAGTGTTTCAATCAAACATAACTCATAACACTGCACCACCAAAGATCACATTAATACAGTGTTTCAATCAAGCATAACTCATAACACTGTACCACCAAAGATCACATTAATACAGTGTTTCAATCAAGCATAACTCATAACACTGTACCACCAAAGATCACATTAATACAGTGTTTCAATCAAGCATAACTCATAACACTGTACCACCAAAGATCACATTAATACAGTGTTTCAATCAAACATAACTCATAACACTGTACCACCAAAGATCACATTAATACAGTGTTTCAATCAAACATAACTCATAACACTGTACCACCAAAGATCACATTAATACAGTGTTTCAATCAAACATAACTCATAACACTGACCACCAAAGATCACATTAATACAGTGTTTCAATCAAACATAACTCATAACACTGCACCACCAAAGATCACATTAATACAGTGTTTCAATCAAGCATAACTCATAACACTGTACCACTAAAGATCACATTAATACAGTGTTTCAATCAAGCATAACTCATAACACTGTACCACCAAAGATCACATTAATACAGTGTTTCAATCAAACATAACTCATAACACTGTACCACCAAAGATCACATTAATACAGTGTTTCAATCAAGCATAACTCATAACTGCACCACCAAAGATCACATTAATACAGTGTTTCAATCAAGCATAACTCATAACACTGTACCACCAAAGATCACATTAATACAGTGTTTCAATCAAGCATAACTCATAACACTGTACCACCAAAGATCACATTAATACAGTGTTTCAATCAAACATAACTCATAACACTGTACCACCAAAGATCACATTAATACAGTGTTTCAATCAAGCATAACTCATAACACTGTACCACCAAAGATCACATTAATACAGTGTTTCAATCAAGCATAACTCATAACACTGTACCACCAAAGATCACATTAATACAGTGTTTCAATCAAACATAACTCATAACACTGTACCACCAAAGATCACATTAATACAGTGTTTCAATCAAACATAACTCATAACACTGCACCACCAAAGATCACATTAATACAGTGTTTCAATCAAACATAACTCATAACACTGTACCACCAAAGATCACATTAATACAACAGTAAGAATAAAATAACAGGAGAAAAAGCATTAATATTTGCTTTGGATCTCAACTTAACCTGTACATAAAATTGAGACAAAGATTAAGAAATAAATATACAAGTTATCCATGAAATATACGACCCATTTTAAAACTTAATAACCAGAGATATAGGTAGAACGTATAGACACCCAGTATAGCATGAGTATTATAGATCATTGTTCATCTATATAGACATAACGGTATTGGGTAATTTTAGTGTAAATAGAAGTTTAGAGATTTTAGTGATGATAAACCAGTGTTATGTGTTGCCTGGAGTCAGAGAAGGAAGATATCACCTGAAGAATCTTTACCCCAGTTTATTTCATCTAAAGTTAAACCATCGTAATGCTAACCTAACCTAACCTAACCTAACCTAACCTGTGAAATAAGCCGGGGTGTGGAGATGCTTCAGGTGATCCATTAACTACTTGTAATATTGTATTTATTATTATTCTTATGTCCGAACAGAACAAATATCCAAGGAGGGAAAAGCTGCCGAGGCGGTGCCGGCGGGCGGGGACTCGGCCACCAGGAGAGAACCCGTGGCTCCTGAACCTCCTCCAGAAGACTTGGGGATAAAGAAAGAGGATAAAAGAGTGTTGGTGGACAAAGATAAAGTAGAGGCAAAAGAGACTAAAGGTGAGAAAAATAATGCACATAGTTTAGATAAGGAGGAAAGTCGGAAAGAAGTCATTGAACAGCGTAAATTGGCCGAGGAGAAGGAAGAGAAGAACGAGGGGGATACATTACACCCGGACGCCATACAGAAGGAAGAGAAGGTAAATAAGGAAGAGGGAAACGAGAATAGGAAAGAAGAGGAAGTGGACAAGAAGAAGGCAGAGTTACTTGAAAAGATGGAGGTGCAGCATAAGGAACAGCAGCAGCTCCTGGCTGTCTTACAGGAGTCAAAACAGATCCTTCAGGAACTAAAAGTGGCCAAGAAGGAACAAGATCTGAAGAGGCAGGAGGAAGAGAATAGAGCTGCTGTTATTATTCCTGTTCCAAATGTTGTTCCTGTTGAGAAATCTTTTGCTGGAAATCTTGCTGCTGGAAATCCTGCTGCTGTTGGAAATCTTGCTGCTGGAAATCCTGCTGCTGTTGGAAATCTTGTTGGTGTAAATCCTGCTGCTGTTGGAAATCTTGCTGCTGGAAATCCTGCTGCTATTGGTGTAAATCCTGCTGCTGTTGGAAATCTTGCTGCTGGAAATCCTGCTGCTGTTGGAAATCTTGTTGGTGTAAATCCTGCTGTTGGAAATCCTGCTGCTGTGGTGAATCCTGCTGCTATGAAACCAGGGACTGTTAATGCTGCACCAATTAAACTGGCTCCTGCCATAGCTATTGCTGGAAATTCTGGAGGTTTGGGTAACATGCAAAATCCAGTCATGGGTCCAGCAGCCTTACGAAACACAGGTGTAGGACAGGTGGACAACTTAGTCAATTCAGCACTGCCAGCACCACAGGGTAACCAAGTCTATAACTACCAGGTGATTCAGGCAGCGGGTAATAATGGCGGTCTGCCTATTTATCCCAACACTGGTAATCAGATGGTATATCAGGTACCCCAGGCTTCGAATGTAGGTGGTGCTCCTGTGGGTAATGAGCCGGTATATGCAGGTAACCAGCCTCAACCTGTTGTTCAAGTCAGTAATAACAAGGACCAGGTTCCTCTTGTTGCTGGAGGTGTCGTGGCAGGTATCGGAGCCGCTGCCAAAGAGGAACTTGCTCCTCCAGTCCAACAAGTACTTCCAGGAAATCAACCACAAAACCAAGTTCCTGTTGGTGAAGATCCGATGAAACCCAAAGCCGAGGCTCCAATAGTTGAGCTACAGGAGAGAGTTCAAGAAACAGTGAAGGCTCAAGGTCCAGCCCTTCAGTCACAGGGAAAACCTCAGAGTCGCATAGAGGAACCTGCCAAGAATGTACCCGACCCGGCACGTCAAAAGGAATCTCCATTAGGTAAGTCACGGGATACAGCTAAAGAGAAGGACACAAAGAAATCAACTTCCGTTTCTGATAACAAGAATCAAGTGAATGTTGGACAGATCAGAGCGCCGGTCAGCAGCTCACCCAATATAAAGGGCATGAAAGACTCCCAATCAATTAATAATAATAATTCTCTATCATCAAAAAAGAACAGTAAAAATAAAACTAACCAAAAGAAAATAAACCACGGCGAAGACCGACGCAAGCGAGACGTTGATGAAAATTATTTGTTTAATCTCCCAGAAGTTGACCTTTTCAAGGAGATTAAGTCGAGGGACAGCATAGATGTGGCCTACGACACTCGCCACCTCCTGTGGAACAGTCGGTCGAGGAGGAAAAGGAGAAGGAACGACAGAGAGAGGGACGACTACTATTGGGATGAAACATAATCTGGTTTTCCTTCATTCCCAAGTTCTCCTCATCTTAAAGTTGTGTAAATATAATTTTTTTATTTTTTGGTAATAAAGTCTTTTTTTTTCATTACGATACATCAACTTTGCTGAATAATATTTAAACAAAATGTTTGGTTTTACTTGTAGTGGAAACGTAAGTGTTGCCTTTTAACCCATATTGTTGGATACATATTTGTAACAAGGAGACCTTATACTGTACATGTAAAGCTTTGTAAGTATTGACAACAAACTATTCAGAATTTGTTTTGGCAGCCCTCACTATCTGAATGGGTAAGGCTCCTTGAAAACCATTCAGATATCACTAAAAGGTCTCAGACAAGCAGTGCATTAATTATATCTGTAATATAATGGAGAATAACAGAGAGACTGACTTGATATCTGTCGTCTCAGTTAGCCACTTGTGTAGTGTACTGTATGTAGTTAACTGTAGGGAGTGTAGTTAAGTTAGTGTAAATGTTATATAAGTCAACACATTTTATTGACCATCTAGTAAGAGATGGAAACTGTATCCTGTGTAAAGTAGTTAAGGGAAAGTTTACTCTGGTATAAGACTGAGATGAGATATTTTTTAAAAAATTGTCGTGTAACGTTATGGGTTTTATCACAGGTTTGTCGGTCATGGAGGCTGCTAAGAATTTGTCTTATATATACTGTACTGCATATGCAAATTAAGGATATGAGCAAGTGTGTTTGTGCATGTGTGAGTGTATGTGTGTGTGTCTGTACAGTAAGTCCTCGCGTAACGTCGTGGTTCCGTTCCTGAAAACCGTGACGTCAACAGAAACAATGTTAACTGAATCAATTTTCCCCATAAGAAATAGATAAAATACAGGAGTTACGTTCCTGAGCCTCCCTTTGCCCCATAAAATACATTACATATACAGAACATAAATTCAATGGAATTTTTATAGAAAATTGTATATATTATATGTCCGAAAAGATAAATAAACTTAATAATTTTGTATTGTACTCACTGATGGGCGGAGGTGGAGCGAGTGTGTGGTGGGTAGTGGAGACAAGATATGATAATAACCTTGTCATATGAATGTGTTGAGTAGATTATCAGGCAGGATGGTATTATTAAGTTGAAAGGTGATATGGGTCACTTAACCTCATCCTCACCATGAAGAATAATAATATGGTGTTTAATCAGTCTTGGGTGTGTTGTGTCCAGCACCTACCCTAGTACTAAGTCACTACCGGGTATGGTATTGACGGTAGAATCGGTAGGTACGTAATCTCTTAGTGTCTCCCGGCTCTACGCGTTATAAGCTTCATTATATACACCTGTTAAATTTACTGTAGACTGAAGGATAAAATTCCATCGATATATTTTATAACGTCCGGCGTCTACACAAGGGTAATGGGGGACTAGAATTCTTTTATAATTATTTACTCGGATATTTTTTTTTAAATTGTGGTTTGGTTTGTGTTACGCCGACGTGATCTATAATGGAAAGGAAACATCACTCGCTTTACATCTGTCTTATGACCTTCAATATAAATATCTTTTAATTTCTAATACATATGAAGTCATGATGTGAATGAAATGATGAATGAATGATTGTATGTAAATGAAAAACAAATCAATTAAAGGTTTTGAATGAAGGTTTCTTGTGATATATGTATAAAGTACTATATACAGTATACATACATTCTTATTGACATCAAAAGTGTGTAGATTGTGTGATTATTACTGTAACAGAATTAGGTTTTAGATGTTGAGAAATTTGTTACCTTGGCTGGCTTGAGAGATAAAAAGTGACAGCTGAGACAATACATAAGAGAGAGAAAGAGAGAGAGAGAGATAATAGTGCAAATAACCCGGCCAATTGAAACCTTTAAAAGAAAATGACACTAACATCCACTCGTGTAATGAGACTTAAATTTCCCCAGCACCTTTGGCGTCGGTCTTTTGTCTTCCATTGAATGAGCGTCACATATCAACATTATTTTTGTATAATGTCACAACCAGCGTCTCGGGGATGCACCTTTGGGGGAGAGGAGAGGAGAGGATGGGAAGGAGTACTCTGTTCCGCCATTATTTATTCAGGTATAATATATTGATTGATACTCAAAATCTCCCTGAAATCTGAAGGTAGGAAGTAGAATTGGATATAAGATGTTCTGTCTTTATTAAATGCAGTATACCTGGATGCATCTCAGGTCACTGTATAGAACAGGTGTGTGTCATTACTTATTGATCAGCTCCTTCCTTACTGCATGCTCTTTTAAGTCTATATAACGTGAACTTTTACTGTAATGCTAAATGTGCTTGATGCTGTCTCAGTCACATTGTAAGGAAGGGATTAAGAACTCAAGTACAATATACCAGTAAAAAACAAAGTACAAGGGGTTCTAATCTCTTTTATGTACTGTGTGTAATTTGGTTGCTGGATCCAATAACCCCCCTTGTGTATTGGGTCTTCTCTGTGTTGTGTAAAAGCGTCTGGCGTCACCCACATCAAGTATAAGATGCGACGTCCAGTAGTGGTGGGGTTAATAATTTGGTGTGGTCTTGTGGTCTTGATAGGAGTAGAACAGATAACTTGACCTCAGATCCATAGTTAGAATTTTGATGTTGCAGTATAGGAGAAACATTCATAGATGCCTTTTCTTTTTTTTCTTTTATCATACTGCCTAACCACTTGATAAATTGATGATAATTAAGGTACTTGTAGTAAGGTTAAAATTTATAAATTCTTCCAAAGTTGTAGAGAATATGTAACAAAAGGTGTAAATATCTTCGATTATGATATTAAGATTTTCAGGGTCAATGCTGGGTTGATTGTAATGAGAGGGGTATGCCAAACAGGTACCTTAGAGCCTTGTTGAGAGCACTATGGAGAACCACTGGCAGTATCCTAAAGGTAAAGGCTAATGGCAGTCAGATTTTGTTGAGAAAGCAGGTACAGTCGGTGCCCATTTAACACACACACGCACACACATGATGTATTCCTGAAAACCCATACGTCAAGTGAGTTAAACGAGTGCTGACTGTACAGAATGTTATTATTACCGAGCGTATTAACCTGTTGAGTACCTGAATTAGAGGAAGCGATGGCCAGTGTGATTTCATGTTGGTGTATGTTCATGTAGAGAGCTCAGAGAGGTATGTAAAGAGGATAGGTGGAGATGAAGAGGTCCTGGGCTCCCTCTTTGGCATTTATCATGAAACACATACAGTACATGACCAAGTACACAGAGTTGTCAGGGTAATGAAGTAAAACAAGTTATAACTAAATATTTCTTCTCTTATTAGACAAATGAAGAACTCTGGGACAAAATATAACCAGTCTAGATGCTTATTGTCTTTGGCAGTTTGACTTGTACTAGATCACAATGAAAACCTGTACAGTATATTGAGTTTATTTTGCCCTGCATTATTTTTCTCAGTAGCCAATGAAGGATTATGAGTTTGTATTCTTGTATAATGATATTAGAAGTGAAATATATTGTGAAATAACCTTGAAATATAGCAACAGGATGATAGATTTAAAGGTAATAAATGCAAAAGGCAGAGCAACAATGGAATTTAACACGGCCATCTTAGTTAAAAATCCATCAGTTAACATAAGTCATTTCCAACTTCAATTCAGGTTTAGTCACTTGTGAATTATTATTACAGTCCTTAATTATTTAAATGACTACAAATACACGCAGGACATTACGGTGAGGTGACTATTTTGTAGTCAACAGAGAACATGACCTCATTATCCTGTGTGTTAAGGCTCACTAATAATAAGAAATGAATCACAAACTCACTCACAGCTGAACTATGACCTAATGTAATCAGAAAAACCTTAATTGTTAATATGGTCTTAAAATGCTTATTGTGGGTTTATTTCATTGGAATTTATTTTATTTTATCTTGACTGTACTGTACTAACCTAACCTAATATAACATGAGCTGACCTAACCTATTGTAACATGACCTGACCTAACCTATTGTAACATGACCTGACCTAACCTAATATAACATGACCTGACCTAACCTATTGTAACATGACCTGACCTAACCTATTGTAACATGACCTGACCTAACCTATTGTAACATGACCTGACCTAACCTATTGTAACATGACCTGACCTAACCTAATATAACATGACCTGACCTAACCTATTGTAACATGACCTGACCTAACCTAATATAACATGGTCTGACCTAACCTATTGTAACATGACCTGACCTAACCTATTGTAACATTACCTGACCTAACCTATTGTAACATGACGACCTAACCTATTGTAAATACATCCTCACCTAACCTATTGTAACATGACCTTGACCTAACCTATTGTAACATGACCTGACCTAACCTATTGGTGTAACATGAGCTGACCTAACCTACTGTAACATGACCTGACCTAACCTTATTGTAACATGAGCTGACCTAACCTATTGTAAATACGACCGACCTAACCTATTGTAACATGATGACTCCAACCTATTGTAACATGAGACCTGACCTAACCTAACCTAACCTATTGTAACATGACCTGGGTCTGACCTAACCTATTGTAACATGACCTGACCGGACCTAATATAACATGGCCTAACCTAACCAATGTAACATGACCTGACCTAACCTATTGTAACATAACTTGACCTAACCTATTGTAACATGACCTGACCCAACCTAATATAACATGACCTGACCTTACCTATTGTAACATGACCTGACCTTACCTATTGTAACATGACCTAACCTATATAACATGACCTAACCTATATAACATGACCTGACCTAACCTCACCTCACCTCACCTCATTGGCTTCATATATATATTCTTTAGTTTATTTTGACCCAGCTGTGCCATTTCTTTACTCAGGTTATATACGATGAATTAATTCACATACACGAGACAGTGAAACAAACTAGGAGTCGATGGTGCTGATTGTGAAATGTGTATTAGGATGATTGAGATTTTTATTTTAGGAAACGTGAAAAGGTGTAATCTTCCAGGGCTTGGGTTATGATGGGTTAGGTTAGGTCACATAAAGCACAAGGGAAGGTTTTACACGTGTTTGTACAAGTCCCATTGTAGTGGCACAAATTCTTTCACTTAAATATTCCATCTAAGCTGCGACTATAAATGGTGGCAGCGGTGGGATATTAAAGTGAAAGAACTCGGCCACTACACCATACAAGGTAATGAAGGTGCTGGGGTATTAAAAGTAATGATTGTATTCATATCTACACATGTATATTATGCATATACTGTACAGTACTGTAAGTATATAGAGATATATCTTCCCATATAGTCATACATACGTACATATATGTCCTTAGCCCACTCTTAGATTAGTACTGGATAGTTTGTGAACCTATTATGAAATTGTGTTGGGTCATACTGTGCCAACCTTAGTCTTATAAGATCACCTCAATGGCGAGTAAGTTGATAAGTGGTAGCAAAGATAAATGAATTCTTATATATCTAACAACACAGCAAGTTAGAGTCTTAACTTCTCCAACATTTGTATATATTAATTTAACATCATTTTGGACACGGTCTTTGTGATGTGGTTAATATGAAGCGCTGGATGTGTTTATCGTCACCAATTGTTGTGGAAATTTAAAACAAATCTTGAAGAATATGGTTTTAGCTTTCAGTTAATTGTGGTGTATTACCCTGGGTGTTAGGTACAGTATGTAAGAGCTATACTGTACTGTACTCTGTAGCTTGGTCTGTTTTCGGATATATGAGGAGTTACCATAGCATTTATAGTTGAGGGTAGACTGTCAAGATTCCCCATTTCTGTATGTTTTTACCGAGCTGCAAGTTCCTCTTATAGTTTTATCATCGTTGAACAGGAGACGACATGATACATGCTGCACACGTACTCTCTCTGAAGTGAATTTTTGTAGCGCACTCTGTCACTGAAAACTAAATATTACAGTACCTTGGTCTTTTAGGTTTGTGTGAGACTGTATTTTGTATTTGTGTATCCATAATGTATTGAGTTACTTTAGGAGTCCTGTTGTCTGAGCCATTATGATAATACAGCACCAATGTTGGAGTCTTGTTCTCTCTTGTCATTTAGTTGTTTTACTTAACACGTTCACCCATATAGAGGTTTCCTCATCTCGGCCATTATGATAACACTGTATACTGTACTAGTTTTAGATAATTAGTCTCTTGAAGTATTTAGTTCTCCTGAGAGGGGGAGATTACTCTACTATCTCCCTCTTATTCTTTAACTTGATTACTGTAGTGACCCAGTCTAGGTATTAAGTATTGTTGTCTACTGTACAGATAATACTTAACTACCATTATAACTTACCTCCTCTGATGTGACACCCAAGTTTGGAGTTTTTCATGATAGCTGTAGTACCATGGCTGTCATTTCCCTCTGACTTGTCACTCTTGCTGTGGTCGTTTGTTTTGGCCATATTTTAATTTTCCAGAATAACCTGAATATCCAAACTTGTGATGCATTATTCTGAATAAACTCCGGGGCTTAAATCTTTACAAATTATGAGATGATCAAGAAATGGAGAAAAAAATCGTGAATATTTGCCTTTCATCAATTACTTGGGAAAATATCACTTATTTTTGATGATGTAATAATGGAGAGAGAGAGAGAGAGAGAAAAAACACTCATTATACATAATTATACAATTAGTCTTTTAACAGTATTAGTCATTATTTAATTAACTTTACATATATATACATTCTTTTTTATTATTTATATTATGTGAAGCAACAATCAGCAGGTACAGTAGTTGAAGAGATTTTTGGGGGTATCAAGTTTTGTGAGGTGATGTGAAATACTGTACTATCGAGCAGCTCTGTATCTTACTGAAGTTTATCCTTCAGTGTGTTAGTCTTAGTGACTTCTCGGATAGGTTTTGATAATCAGAATTTTTTATATATTTTATCTGGGATGTTGAATGATTTGAACGAACTTAAATCTTCATATCAATTTTTTTTTTTTTTTTATCGAGTTGAATCTTTGAGAATATTAGTCGGTTAATGGCAGGTTAGGTTAGTGAGATGATGCAAGCTGGTGTTTGTTAGGAACCACTTTGCTGCACATCACCAAACAGGGTATAGCCAGGATGTGGTCATGAGCTGTGTCTGGGGGTGCAGTAGCCTGAGGGGTGGAGGTGATATTTCTTCTTGATCAGTCAGGAAAGGATCACAAACACAAATAGAGCTGCTAACGGAGCTTAATATTATGTACTGTGCGTAGATTTAATCAATATAACCCTTCTCTCAGACCACTTACTGTCCTGTAATACTGTCAGTTGTAATATGTAAGTAGTTTAGTTGTAGCAGATAGTCAGAGTGGAAAGAACTTGAGATACAGGTATATACACATTGTACCTTATGTTGTCAACACTTCTGCTCTGTGAGACTTGCCTGAACTTCATGCAATAAAAATTATATAAAAAAATATAGTGTAAAAATTAAGAAATTAATTTAATCTTCGGTTAAATTTTTTATGACAAAATTGTATTTGTTGGATCTATTTTCTCTATTTCATTGTGCTTTCGGAGCCGAGGATAAACCATAGATTTTTGTATGTATGTTTACATTGGCACTATACACATGGGGCTATAGGTTTTTTTATTTACCTTAGATTGTGTTTGTCATGAGGGTATTCTTCCAGATCCATTACCAATACATGTTGCTTTGTTTTTGTCAAGAAGTCATAGCAGGGGTCCAAAGGTGATAAAATAGTCTTAATGTTACCTGTCTGTGTTTAAAGGAGATTTTTAACTTGTGTCTCTGGGTCTAAAAAATTGACAATTTGGTAAACTAAGTCTATACAAAACTTGCAATTCAGTGGGAAGGTTTATCTCTCCAGCACATATGTCTATTGTGTGTGTGTGTGTGTGTGTGTGTGTGTGTGTGTGTGTGTGGAATTTCAGGGATTGATAGTTAACATTTGACAGTTACTTAAGCTCTTAGACACATTGGGAGGTCTTCTGTACACACACACACACACACACACTGTATCATGTTAACTTTGAACCCTTGATATGACCTCTTGATTATATACCTGTCCTAGTCAGATAATTAATGTATTTTGTGTGTGTGTGTGTATATAAAACGCGATACTTGTTCATTTTAACATTTGAGTCGGGTCGTATTTGGTTAAATTTGCCTCGCCAGTTCTTCAGTTAGTATGGGTTACTTTTTGCCTGGTCAGTGTTATTCATTTGTTTTTGTAGATAAATTACACTACAACAGGTGTGTCTGTCTGTCTGTCTGTCTGTCTGTCTGTATGTCTGTCTGTCTTATGTTCTTAACCCCCTCAAAAAAGTATTCATTTAGTTGAAATTCTGTGGGACCAGTTTTAATTTATTTTCTCTCAAAAAATTAAGTACGGTACTATAATATTATATACTGTAATACATTATTCAGAAATATTGAGAGAAAAAAAAAGCTATGCATTTATTTCCTTGCATCTTTTGTTAGATCTTGAAGGTGAAGCTTATTATAGTAGATAGCTTATGTTTCTGCCTGTAGGATCTGTGAAGGCAAGACTACTATACTGTACTCTTACTGTCTCGATATATGTTAATGTAATGTTTGTTAGGTTAAGCCGATGACAGTAATAAGAATTGTTTGGCTTAAGACTGTCAGATTATAGTGCATTTTTCTCTTAGTTGTAAGAAAGAAAATCAAATAAATGCTTATATATACTGACGCTTGTTTGTTTGACATTATATTTATTTATTTGTATTATACATTGTAAAACCATAATTATACAACTTTACAATTGATTTATTATGTATACAGGTATAGACAATGCAGGTATATAATTCAGCATGTAAAGACACAATGCAGGTATATAATTCAGCATGTAAAGACACAATGCAGGTATATAATTCAGCATGTATGTAGACAATGCAGGTATATAATTCAGCATGTATATAGACAATGCTCAGCATAAAGAAAATATATAATATATATACAGCATGTATGCTAGAAATATATATATAATTCAGCATGTAAAGACAAATGGGTATATATTCAATGTATATAGACAATGTAGGTATATAATTCAACATGTATATAGACAATGCAGGTATATAATTCAACATGTATATAGACAATGCAGGTATATAATTCAGCATGTATATAGACAATGCAGGTACAGGTATATAATTCAGCATGTATATAGACAATGCAGGTATATAATTCAGCATGTAAAGACACAATGCAGGTATATAATTCAGCATGTAAAGACACAATGCAGATATATAATTCAGCATGTAAAGACACAATGCAGGTATATAATTCAGCATGTATATAGACAATGCAGGTATATAATTCAGCATGTATATAGACAATGCCCAATCAAGGATGTGATTTATAGCTGCACCAGTTAGCTCTATGTATGTCTTTCTGGAAGCTATCTAACTTAAGTGATAGCTTTGAAGATTAGGAGACCCAGCTTATTTCACCTGATGATTAAACACCTTAGCACTAAATAAGGGTGGTTAAGTTAGATTAGGTTAGGTTAGGTTAAGTTAGGTTAGTTTAAGTTAGGTTAGGTTAGGTTAAGTTTGGTTAGGTTAGGTTAGGTTAAGTTAATATTCTAGGTTTAAATCGTAATATGAAATAAGTTAAGGTTCCTAATCTTCGTGAAATATATGGAAAATTCCACCATGTTCCAGGATAACTCCTGCTAAAGGGTAGGTTAGTATTAGGTTAAGTTAGCATTAGGTTAAGTTAGCATTAGGTTAGGTTAGCATTAGGCTAGGTTAGCATTAGGTTAGGTTAGCATTAGGTTAGGTTAGCATTAGGTTAGGTTAGCATTAGGTTAGGTTAGCATCAAGTTAGGTTAGCATTAGGTTAGGTTAGCATTGGGTTAGGTTAGCATTAAGTTAGGTTAGCATTAGGTTAAGTTAGCATTAGGTTAGGTTAGCATTAGGTTAGGTTAGCATCAAGTTAGGTTAGCATTAGGTTAGATTAGCATCAAGTTAGGTTAGCATTAGGTTAGGTTAGCATTAGGTTGATCAATCTTGAGGTGATATAAGCTGGAGTGGAGGAACTTCAGATGATCCACTACTAAGCACATGTTGCTAACAGTGCATAACAGACGTGACCAATCACCCAAGCGGCTAACGAGCTGACCTGTGGTGAAGAGGATAAAAATTAAGCTGTCAACTATGATGAAGTGAAGGAACATCAGAGTAAGGGTTTTTTTTAGTTTAACAAATTTATTGATAAAGCTTGGAGTACAGTTAGCCTATTGTGAGTAATTCAGTCAAGTCTTGACACTGAGGGTATAAAGCTGACCGTACAGTACTATGTAAATGTACTTTAGCCTCGTCCACAGTCCAGTACAGCCAAGTGAAAGTCGTCTTTGTCTTGTGTTCTCTATGAGGATTTTTTTCTCTTTTTTTTAGGTTTTTCTTTATTTATCTGCTGTTTCATATAAGGTCTCCATTTTCTTGCTTTTTATTCCTTTATTCTTCTGTTTCTCTTATTTCTCATTCGTTCTTTCTTCCCGTGTTCATTGTCTCTCTCTTTTTTTCGTTCTTTCTCTCTATTTTTTTATATAACTTTGTGGAATAAAGTAAAGTAACAGTAAATTTGAGTACTAGCAAAGAGGGAGGAATCAGGTACAATTTGGGGCCACCATTCCGTCTTAACTTATTGTCTTGAGTCTATTGAAATCACATAGTACAGCAATTTAATATTACAGCAACGAGAAGAACTTATTTCAAAACTAATGTAACACCTAAAAAAAATACAATTACGTTTATTCTAAAATTAAAACTGCTTTTGTTTTATTAATAGTAATCAACCAGAAGACAAAGGGGGAAAAATTAGCATATAATGTATCAATGTATTCATATATGCTGGACACAATGAGCTCTAAATATATTATATATTATTAAACTTAGATATATTTTTTCATAATTATTAGGTATTTATATTATATTAAGGTCAATGACATTATACAACATTCTGAAACGTAGATTATAAAAGGCAGAAAATTTCGTAATAAACTTCAATATTTAAGGGGCAGATGTCGTAATTTTGTATAATAATATATCAAATAATTGTCCTGTCTCTATGGAAATGAATAGGTAGTAGATAATATTGAACTAATGGAAATGCACCTTGTATGTGGCTTTAACCCTTTAGTTTATTTCTATAGAGACTAAAATATGAAATATGTCAGATTATATACGGGGTAAGAGTTCATTCATTAATAATAGGAATATCAAGTTAAATAAGATTAATTTATAAATTTTAGTGCAATTTAGTGTGATTTTGTATTTTAGGAGGACCTACTGAATCCCGAATCCCTGAACCCTTAAATAAGAAAATAGGTTAATACAAACTCAAATATCATAATAATAAAACCTGACATAGTTAGTTCTTTATGAAACTTACTGTACTTAAAACTTAACTTACCTAAATATAGACGAAGTGAATTTATCTCTCCAGCTTAATTTTTTTCTTATGATTTATATTGACATGACTTGTTTGAACTTATTTGAATATTAAAAAAAAAAACATTAGAGTGATTACTTTTTGTTGTTTTGTAATGAAATAACTTTATTCCCTATTTGAGGTGAGAGGTTTAGTGGGTTGGGGTTTGGTATAGGTCTCGGATATGACCTATGTTATGTACTAAACTCCTAATTCACAAACAGATTCCCAAGAAAACTTCAAGACAGATAGGAGTTTTTTTTTTAAATCTCTGTCATTGTGAATTTGTAGAGTATATGTGTTTTAGGGTGTGTACAGTATGTCTCAGTTAGAAGATAATATTGCCTTGGGTTTTAAGGTGTTTGAATTACCCGCCATTGTCAAATCAGTGGAAAATTTATATTCCTTTTTTTACCTTGAAATAAACTTAATACTGTTAATTTTATAAATATTTCAAGTTTGTATTCATATTAATATTTATATAATATAGCAATTATAGAAAATTAACTCGTTATATACAATGTTACTTACTTTTAAAACACTTAATTGACGAGTTAGATTTTGAGAGTAACATTATTGGAATATCAGTAAGTGGTGTGAAAATGGCGACGAGCAGTGGAAGGTGTAGCGTTGAGCCACCACTTTTTGGCTCTCACAGTGGACAGGATCCCATTAAAGCCTTATATCCCATGGTAAATGAGGAGGAGACACCTCTTCCCAGATGTTGGAGTAGCAAAGACAAATACAGTTTCATTGGTTTATCGCAAAATAACCTTAGAGTTCACTACAAGGGTAAGTGACTGGAACTAGGATCTCTTTGTTGATATTAATATTTTCATTTATTGTGTCTCTTAATCCACGTACATTATTTATTATAGGGAGTGCAATGATGAAGGGGCTCTTATTAACCCTCCAGGTAGGTTAATGTAGTGGTTAAATGGTTAAATAAAGGTGATTTTAGGCAATAATTAAGGAGGTTGGATTTCTTTGTTTGTGTTTTGGGTGGATCAGCTGATTGCGTAGTGAAGAGATGATGGATGGGTCTCTACCTCATTCTACCTGTCTCTACCTCACTCTACCTCATTCTACCTGTCTCTACCTCATTCTACCTCACTCTACCTCCTATAATCTCACCACACCTTCCTATCTTTAAATATCTAAACCATACTACCTCATATATCTGAATTTATAACCACCTACAAATATGTGAAATGATGATTATCCTTTACATCCAATCTACGTTGTTCTACCTCACTATATACCCTTCACATCCTCTATCAGTTAATTTACGTAGTTATGGAGTGATAGTTTGATCTCTACCTCCATCTACCTCGCTGTTCTACCTCCTGTTACCTCACTACATATCTTCCCTGACCTCCAAAACAGCTTCTCTAACTTCCTTCAGAAATATGCGTAATATATTTTTCTTTGTTAAAATGATGGGGGAAAGAAGTTAGTCAAAATTATATAAACTTTGATAAATACTTTCTCATAATTACGTAAATATGTGATGAACTTTTAGTGTTTTTAAACCTTGAGTTGTGGTGTTGTGGCATTGAGTTATGGTGTTGTAGCCTTGAGTTATGGTGTAGCTTTGAGTTATTTTGTGGTAGCCTTGAGTTATGGTGGTGTAGCCTTGAGTTATGATGTTGTAGCGTTTAGTTATGGTGGTGTAGCCTTGAGTTATGGTGTTGTAGCCTTGAGTTATGATGTAGCTTTGAGTTATTTTGTGGTAGCCTTGAGTTATGGTGGTGTAGCCTTGAGTTATGGTGTTGTAGCCTTGAGTTATGGTGTAGCTTTGAGTTATTTTGTGGTAGCCTTGAGTTATGGTGGTGTAGCCTTGGTAGGTTATGGTTTTTACCCATGAGTTATGTTGTAGCTTTGAGGTTATTTTGTGGTAGCCTTGAGTTATGGTGGTGTGAGTTATGGTGTTTGTAGCCTTGAGTTATGATGTAGCTTTTGAGGTTATTTTGTGGTAGCCTTAGCAGGTTATGGTGGTGTAGCGGGTTATGGTGTTGTAGCCTTGGGTTATGGTGTAGCTTTGGAGTTATTTTGTGGTAGCAGGTTATGGTGGTGTAGCCTTGGGTTATGGTGGTGTAGCCTTGAGTTATGGTGTGAGTGGTAGCCTTGAGTTATGATGTAGGTGTAGCCTTGAGTTATGGTGTTGTAGCCTTGAGTTATGGTGTTGTAGCCTTGAGTTATGGTGTTGTAGCCTTGAGTTATGGTGTTGTAGCCTTGAGTTATGGTGTTGTAGCCTTGAGTTATGGTGTTGTAGCATTGAGTTATGGTGTTGTAGCATTGAGTTATGGTGTTGTAGTATTGAGTTATGGTGTTGTAGCATTGAGTTATGGTGTTGTAGTATTGAGTTATGGTGTTGTAGTCTTGAGTTATGGTGTTGTAGCATTGAGTTATGGTGTTGTAGCCTTGAGTTATGGTGTTGTAGCTTTGAGTTATGGTGTTGTAGTCTTGAGTTATGGTGTTGTAGCATTGAGTTATGGTGTTGTAGTCTTGAGTTATGGTGTTGTAGTCTTGAGTTATGGTGTTGTAGCATTGAGTTATGGTGTTGTAGCATTGGAGTTATGGTGTTGTAGCATTGGAGTTGGCGGTGTTGCAGCCTTGAGTTATGGCGTTGTAGCCTTGAGTTGTTGTTGTAGCCTTGAGTTGAGTTATGGTGTTGTAGCCTTGAGTTATGGTGTTGTAGCCTTGAGTTATGGTGTTGTAGCCTTGAGTTATGGTGTTGTAGCCTTGAGTTATGGTGTTGTAGCCTTGAGTTATGGTGTTGTAGCCTTGAGTTATGGTGTTGTAGCCTTGAGTTATGGTGTTGTAGCATTGAGTTATGGTGTTGTAGCATTGAGTTATGGTGTTGTAGTATTGAGTTATGGTGTTGTAGCATTGAGTTATGGTGTTGTAGTATTGAGTTATGGTGTTGTAGTCTTGAGTTATGGTGTTGTAGCATTGAGTTATGGTGTTGTAGCCTTGAGTTATGGTGTTGTAGCTTTGAGTTATGGTGTTGTAGTCTTGAGTTATGGTGTTGTAGCATTGAGTTATGGTGTTGTAGTCTTGAGTTATGGTGTTGTAGTCTTGAGTTATGGTGTTGTAGCATTGAGTTATGGTGTTGTTGCATTGAGTTATGGTGTTGTAGCCTTGAGTTATGGTTATTGTAGCATTGAGTTATGGTGTTGTAGCCTTGAGTTGGTGGTGTTGTAGCCTTGAGTTATGGTGTTGTAGCATTGAGTTATGGTATTGTAGCATGGAGTTATGGTGTTGTAGCCTTGAGTCATGTTGTAGCCTTGAGTTATGGTGTTGTAGAGTTGGTATGGTAGCCTTGAGTTATGGTGTTGTAGCCTTGAGTCATGTTGTAGCATTGAGTTATGGTATTGTAGCATGGAGTTATGGTGTTGTAGCCTTGAGTCATGTTGTAGCCTTGAGTTATGGTGTTGTAGTGTTGAGTTATGGTGTTGTAGTCTTGTGTTATGGTGTTGTAGCATTGAATTATGGTGTTGTAGCCTTGAGTTATGGTGTTGTAGCCTTGAGTTATGGTGTTGTAGCCTTGAGTTATGGTATTGTAGCCTTGAGTTATGGTGTTCCTGCTGTGAGTTATGGTGTTCCATCTTTTTTCATGTTACACTATTGTGATGGATGAGGTTAGTTTAGGTGAGGTTAGGTTGGGTTGGGTTGGGTTAGGTTGGGTTAGGTTAGGTTGGGTTAGGTTGGTATTAAGGTGGTTAATCTTTAAGTGAAATCATCTGGGGTGGAGATTCTTCAGGTGACTATAACAATTACTCCTGAAGGTGATGAAACTCTGCCTATGTTAATGATAAACTTACACGATGGTTAAAGGAAGTTCTTCACCAGCTCCATTAGGTGATTGAGGGTCAAGTTAAATGACTGGTAATATTGTTCGGTGTATTGTAATAGGAATTTCCATATGAAACTTTGCCAGAGTCTACAGATTGGCAATATAAGCAGCACGTTTACAGTATATCTTTTTAATTTTACCTTTATGCTCTTTGTCACTGATCAGCTCCAAGTGATCAGTCACATCTCTGTTAGGCACTGTTGGCACGTACTGGGCCTGCACCGGCTCCTGAATGTACCTGAACCTGCTCCAGTGTTGGTCAAGTCTGGTCTTGAAACAGCTCACACTCGGTGCCGTCACAACACTTTCTCTCCAAAAAAGTTTGCCCTTACAGTTTTCTGGACTTGTGGCTTCTTCAACCTTGAACTGTGACCCCTTGTGGGGTGGGCGTCTGCCAGCTCCAGGTATGGACACTCGACTGAGTAGTGCCCTCTGAGATGTTTATAAAGTTCAATTAGGTCACACCTTGCCCGCCTATAGTATAAGCTAGGCAGTTGCTTGTGCTCTAATCTCTCAGGGTAGCTGAGGGGCCATAGTGCAGGCACCAGTCTGGTGGCCCTCCTTTGGACATTTTCAATCAACTGAAAGTCTGGCTTATATCGGGGACCAGACGGGGTGACAGTACCCCAGATGGGGAAGCACCCCACTCTTGAAGATCATTACAAGGAACGGACCATCTAGATAATGACCTTTTTTATAAGACCTATTAGTTTGGTTGCTTGATTTACCTTCTCACAATGGTTTGTATCCTGCAGTGGTGGTCAGAACGTGTCAGTGGGCAGCATGGTGAAGTAGAAGGAAAGTGCTGGGTCTAGATGATTTGTTTTATATATTAAAAAAAAAAAAACTATTTTAGTGAAGGTCCCGTGAAAAAAAATCGTGGTAGCCACTAAATATTTATGTGTGGCCAGAGCAGCTAGATGATGGCTGCCTTCCTGCCATTATGGCACTACAGTTTAACACAATGGCAAGTGGCTGTTGACCTGTGTGCCTCTGATGCTTAGCCAAATAAAAATTGACATAATTGAACTCTTCATTATAGGAGGAATGAGCCACTCAGTGATGCTATTCTTGTTGTGGAGTGTACATGCTGGCAACAGTTCTTTTCTTAGTTTTTGCTGCTTATGGGCGACTCATGTGCTGCCACACCAAAATGATTGGTTTAATTTTGTTATATACTTCCCTGTCACGTTATCTACAGAGTAATCCTTTAATCCTAAAACAAAAATCATTGCCAACACCAGATTCCTTCTTTCAAACTCTCTCTCTTTTTTTTTTGCTTGTGCACTAGAACATGTATGTGTTGAGTGTGGTTTTCCCTCATCATGTCAACACTAACACACTGGAATTTTCTCACTCTTTACCCCTCCTCCCCCCTCCCACACACACACACAACATTCAGCTGTTTATGGTTTGTGGGGTGAGGACTTAGGTGGGTTGTAATGTGGTTTATGTGGTAGATCAGGTGGTAAGGAAATTTTAGGTGGATCATGTGAAGTTTTATCCCCTTCAGTTTATTCACCTGATGATGACAACACCGCGCTGCTACTTCAGAAGGTTAAGTTTTAGTGTTGGGGTGGTTGTTCTTCAGGTGACATAAGCTGGGGTGTCTAATCTTCACATGATCATAGTAGGTTCGCAGGTGTTAGGAAATGGGTATAAGATGGTGTATGTCATGGGAAGCAAAGCTCATTCACACTTATGAGGTGTTTGTATTTTAGAGCACCTGAAGATTAAACACCCCAAGTTTATTTTACCTGAAGATTAATTTCACTGATATTAACCTTATTTAATGTGTTTTTTAAACCTAACTTAACACCCAAGGTAACATCAGAGTGGTTAATCTTCAGGTGAAATAAGCTAGGGAGGTTAATCTTCAGGTGAAATAATCTAGGGAGGTTAATCTTCAGGTGAAATAATCTAGGGAGGTTAA